GGGGCAGAAATGACAAAAGGAACTTCCAAAATATTCCTCTCCAAAACAAAATACGGAGTTTTGAAATCCATCATCCTTTTCCCTGATAACAGCAATTAGGATTGTCGTTAATGTTTTGGGGTTTTGTTGTTTGTTTTTGTTTTTTTTTTTCACCTTTTAGCTAAAACCAGACACTGTAGTTCAAGTGTGGATGGAAAACAACTATGCTCATGAACTGAGCAGTGTTACTGGAGCTGGGTTCACTGCTATCCTGGCAGCTCCCTGGTACTTAGACTACATTAGTTATGGGCAAGACTGGAAGAAATACTACAGCGTCGAACCACTTAACTTCCCTGGTTTGTTACTTTTTTTTTTATATACAAGTTCTATGAATGAAAGTCTTTGGTAAGGTGTAAATGGAAAGAGTAAGGCTAATTAGAGTGGTTGTGCAGTCACTATAATCTGATACACTGTCATCAGAGGACCTTAAAGTCAGCTAGAACTCTGGAAAATTCTCAAATAAAAATGAAAACTGCAACTCTCCATTTCCACTCAACACAGGAGTGTTACCTTCCTCAAGAATCTGGCACTGGTGCTTGTATGAGGCAGGAAATGGGTCTAGTTGGCCAGATGCATCATGCATTAGGGGCAGAGTTGTGCAAAATGGCTGGTAGACAGACAGTGAATTCCTGAGTTAGCAAGCTCCTGGAGTCTCAGGCTGTTCTAGAAAAAGACGTGTTCTCCCCCTCTGGCTAAAGCTGATACAAACATCTTAACGCTTTTCCTGGGGGTTTCATTTTGTGCAAGGTAGGCTTTCAAAGCAGATTAGGAAGAGCACCTGACTTCTTAGCTTTTTCAAGGAATGTGCTGTGTGTGATAGAATGAACAGTTTAAATCAAGACTGAAATCTCTGAAGAATGTCAGAAAGCTGAGGAATGTATTCAGAGGATAAAGGGTAAAATCCTTTCCAACAAACAATGTAAACTGATTCTCTGGACAAATGGCCCAGTAGTTCTTGCATTCAGTAACAAGACTACCGGAACATCAAGTTAGTGCTCAGGATAGATATTTTATATGATAAAACAAGTAAGTGAACATTAATCCTCTCTCAGTATTGGAAAATGAAATTGTTGATATATGCCTAATGTTATGATAACTTTCTGCTTTTGAATTCAGGATCTGAAAAACAGAAAAAGCTTTTAATAGGTGGAGAAGCCTGCCTATGGGGGGAATTCGTGGATGCAACTAACCTCACACCAAGATTATGGTATGAACTGCTTTATCATTAGATTTTATAAAGACAGCTACAGGAAATGTTAATTAATCCAGCAGGACTGTATGTTAGTGATAACAGTGCTCTGTGCTGAACCTGAGCAGATATGAATATTGATGCTTCTGTATATACAAGACCTGGTATTAAGAACTTTAACCCATTCTTGGTTGCAGACCATACCTACTCTGAACCTTAGTATATCTTTACAGGCCTCGAGCAAGTGCTGTAGGAGAAAGACTCTGGAGCAGCAGTAATATAACTGACTTAGAAGATGCCTATAAAAGACTGACTAATCATCGATGCCGCATGCTCCGGTAAGATTGCTAGCTATAGTAAAGCTTGGTTCTCACACCTTATAGGTAAAATGGAGTTCAAGTACAAGCCTAAACTACTGGCTTGGAAAGGAAGGGAGGAGAGCTAGCAGTCTAATCTAGCTAGGTAAATGTCATCCCATAGGGGGTTTTGTATCCACAGAAGAGGAAGAACAGATGCAAAACAGTCTAGAGCGCCTGTTTTAACATAACTAACATTTTCAGAACCTTTTCTTCAGTGAAATTCTAGAATCCATCTCTGTCTCCTTCAAGGAAAAACACCACCATAATTGGGATTAGGGTTTTGTTGTTTTGTTGTGGGTTTTTTTTCAAAAATTATATTAAAGGGTATGTGGGAGGAGTACACAAGACAGGAGAGCTATTCTTTCAGGTACTGCTATATATAAGGGACTGAAAAGGGTGGAGAAGGAGCCCCTGATAAAATTCTTTTTTTTTCAAAAAGTCAGTTCACAACATACTCTTCTCTGTAGTTCTTTCCCAAAAGTACCTAGACAGGTTACTGCTTAATAATTGCTAGTGCTGTCTTCGTATGCGTGCAGTTGTAGAAAGAAGTGATTTCTAAGTCTTAAGTCCAAATCTGACTCCGCTTACCAGGATGGTGCATGTCTTGATGGGGCTTAGAGAAAACACTGATCCAGCTGAACAGTGAAGTATATGGTGGCTGTACCTCTAGGATTAGGATTTTAAAGTGAAATAAACCATACTGTCCCTGGACCTGGTTAACTACTGCTGCATCTCCATCTTCTTCACTGGTATTGCTGTATAGGAAGCTTATACAGGTGACTGTAGCTGCCCTGGTAGTGCTAGCATGAGAGATGCAGAATGGGGAGGCAGACTGAGGACTACTCCTTGTACTTGTTGCATACTTTTGCCTTAAACTACTTCCTGGTGCTAAAACTGCTTTGCTGGCAGTGAACAATTCCTGTTATAAACAGACTATGTTAATAAAAGGACATGTCCTCCTGAAAAGGATTCATTCTATATTGGCTTTGAACCAGAAAAACACTAGAGAAACCATTTGCTTTCCCCAATGAAATGAGCATTCCTTGGAGCCACAATTCTGTTGCCTTTCATATATATGGGGCTTCCTTAGCACTGTGTGAACTCAAAAGCTTATTTAATCAGGCTGTTGTAGCCTTAGAGCATGAGCAAAGGACTGTGTCTCTACTGACATTTTCATACACAGCATGTAAAGACTGTGGCAACTGCAGCAGTCCAAAGAATCTTTGAAAAAGAGAAAGAAACAACTCTGTCTTGCTCTGCAGCTGCAGACCAGGGACTGAGAGAATGGGTAGGTGGAACTTTTGTAACAGCTAGATCATGGTCACAGGAAGAACAGTAGCTCTGCCTATCCAAGTCTGAAGCCACTGCTGTTGAAACAATACCAGCTACTGTTTTCACAGTATTCTGATCTAAACTCAGCTTCCTGTAGGAGACAACAACCCAAATTGCAGAGAAATGATGATGGGAGAAGGGAAACAAAAAGGCAGACTTGCATGCTGGAGGCCTAGGCAACAACCTTGTCTTTTACTGAGAGTGTTTTGCCTTGGGCAAGCAACTGTTAGGCTGAGCTGTTTCATTATTCAGTTTCTTTCATTGCAACTCTTAAGTGCAATTTAAACACCAGCATATATTATCCTACACTGTAGCAGTTAGGGTCTAGCTCATTAGAATTTCAACTACAGTTACTGTAACTGTGAAACCTGTTCTTTCACTATACTATTTTACTGCACCATCACAAGCTACAGGGTTTTTTGTTTACTCTTTAAGGCTACATAAGAACAGAATAATTTATGATAATGTAGCTGGAAAAAATGATGTTCACCAAAACTGCCTCCCTCTGAAAATGAATGCAAATTATGTAATTAGAGCCACATATGAAGAAAACATTATAGGTAGGGTCTGCAGAAAGTTCAAATGTCACTGAATTCATATTTTCACATTCTTATGACTTCTCAGTGAAATCAATACACTTTGCAGAACACAGACACAACTAGCTGCTGAATTTAAGCTTTTCAACCTGTTTTCTAATGTCCTGGTACATATGATTGAAACAGAACTGTACATAAGTGAAGTACAATAAACAGTAGAATAGGGCCCTTTTTCATGCTCTAAATAGGCCATCTGTTATTTCTTGGAAGTAGTTTTGTTTATACAAAGATTAAAATAGAGTGCCAGTATCTCTCTTCCTTCCTACACAATCAGCCAGTTGTTTGAATATAATAATACATATTCCACTTTATTTTAACAGCCGTGGGATATCAGCTGAACCTGTGTTTGTTGGATATTGTGCCCACGAAGCAAGGGGATAGTAACTGCTGCAAAGACTTCTTGTTAGAGCCTGAAGTGCCTCTGGGGTATGAATATATATATATATATATATATATATATATATATATATATATATGTACATGCAGTTTGGTATTTGAACCAAGACTTAAGATTTTCACTTTTAGAATAAAGCTACATGACATTCTTGTTGGAGTTAAAATTATGGTTTTTAGCTTTCATTAGAAATGGGGATTGTTCACTGTGAAATACTGAAACCACGGAGTTACCAGTTTCTTTACATTCTAAACCTGAGGGAAAATAAAGCTATGACACTATTATGTTATTTAAATAAAAAGCAAACTGTCTTTTTATTTCAAAGTATCTTATCATTTGCCACTTTTCTATGTAACAAGATAATTGTAAATCAGAATTTTTTACACATAGCAATTCAGAGCCATTACAGCTTAAATCACTTATTTCTAAAGGTCAACAAAAAAAATTGAAGGCAGAAGGTAGGGATCACTGTCCTAGGAGAACTCTGCCTTTCTTGTATTTTTTTGCACAGGTGTTACTGAATTTGCAGAAACACCCTTTCCATTTACTTGCTAAAGCAAACTTGGGTAGAAGTTACACCCAGTCCTGAACTCTGGTTCAAATTTGTTTCTAACAATATAGGAAGCAGCACTTACAGTTGTACAGTTTAAAATGCTTTTTAATGGTATTTTTTTCAACTGAAGACAAGTCAAGATACAGACTGCCAAAACTGTAGTTATTTCACTTACAGGGGTATGACTTGAGACTTACACTGAAGTAAGTAAACTTCAGGAGCTTTACTTAACTCCAGTAAATACACAGTCCTAATGGCATATTAAGGTGCACTTAGTGCTCACTTCTGTGAAAAGGATTTGCATCACTTCTCATTACAGGTATCTGCAAGATAAGAATCTGCAAAGCAGCAAACTGTGGTTGCATATCTGGTTCAGCTGCTTTGCAATTACAAGGCTGTACTAGAAGAACATAGTCTTTTGAAACCTTCCTTGGACATTTAAAAGCACAGTCTGTTCACAAGGCTGCTAATTCATCATTCACCACAACCAGCTGGTCCCACAAGAACATACTGGAGTATATAAATAGGCTTCTGAAAATATTTAAGAGGGAGGACAGAAAATACCTTTATTGTTCTACAGAGTAAAGCAGTCACACCAACCCCATCCTCCTCTGAAGCAGTGCACTTTGTTCTTGACTGTTCAGGGCCTGGTAACTGGCAAGCTCCAAAGTGAAGGTTGCTGAGCCTGATGTTAGAGAACGCAAAACTGTTGAGTAGCCCTGGACAAAATGGAGAATATACATCGCTCAGGTTAGGATAATGGGAAGGTAAGTTAGCACAAAAGATGCTTAGGTGAGAGAAAGACAGAAGTATACTGCAACATACTAGTAAGTTAATTTGTTTAATATTAGTGTATTAAAAGTGCAGTATATTAATGAGTCAATCTAATACACTTACAAAAAAAACTGTTCTCTGTAAAACCTGTTTCAGTAGTATTTACTAATTCTCTGACTTACAATTGAAAACGTGCTGGTTTAACAACCTGAATCAGGCACAAAAACAGTACTCGATTTGTGGGCGCTTGCTTCAGACCTTCAGTAACTAAAATACTTTACTTTAAAAAACATTTCAAACTTCTTCACCCATAACAACAGGAATAGTGAACTGAATCCTAATTATTTTTAAGAATATAAAAAAAGACCAGATTTGTGTTTTACCTTTAGTAAGAAAATTACATACCATCATTTCTGCTAGTGGAACAGTAGCAACCACAACTCTATTATCCTGACGACTCTGGATTTCCTGAACACTACCTCTCCGTTGTGCAAGGTCAGCAAGTGCTGCACTGAGGTGATCTTCACTTACTGTGATTTCTAGGTTCATTAAGGGCTCCAGTATTTGAATACCAGCTTTTTTCAAAGCCTACATGGACAGAAGGAGAGTTACATTGAAGCCGTTTGTGGTAGTTTGATTTTTTTTTTTTTTAAATAAGTACTTGCATAACTAGAGCTAACACTGCCTCCCACTTTCAAAAGCTGTGAAGGCACTGGTGAGGGCATTTCACTGTCAAAGAACAACAATTACCAGATACATATTTTCCCAGTAGTATATCATGCTGCAGCATCGTACAGATGGCATGTGGCATCTTCTGCAGCAGCTTACAGTTTCACTGTACCTTTTGCATGCAACGGGAGACACAGGCTGATAGCATTGTATGGGAGGTGTCGGGATGCAGTGTCAGTGATTGCACTGTCACATCTATATCCTGAACTGGGAATCCAAGCAAAGGACCTAGGGAAAAAAAAAAAGGAGGGGGGGGGGTAGGGATCACAAGAAAGAAAAAAACATTTTTTTAACTGCAGGGTTAACTCAATTATAAGGGATAAATCACAGAGTAGGTTATCTCCCTCCAGCCCAGGACTCTCAACCACACCAAAAACCTGTATTAGACTGGATGGGAGGCCTGAACCACATCTGAGAAAAAGCATAAGAGTTTTTTCCCTACAGAGAACATGGCCAGATCTATTTTATTTATTTATGGGCTTTTTAAGTACTTAATGGCATGAATTTTAGGCTGGAGATGGCACAATCCTGAAGTGTCTTCAGGAAGCACAAAAAAAGCACACAGTCAAGAATCATTCTACAACCAGAGATGAGACATGCTTTCCAACTCAACACAGCAATACTGGAAAAAACCTCCTCATGCCGCTTCTTATAGAGGCATTCTTGTTTATCAATTCACTGCATAGTAATTTTGCTATAAGGGAGAGTTCTTTGGCCACAATTTCTTAAATACTTTCTATTTTTAATAAAACATAAAGGATGCTTTTAGTCCTCTAGAAAACCTATACTTTGCAATTAGGTAAGGCTTTTTATTGTACCAGATTTAACATATTTGAAAATTAAAAAAAAAATAAATAAGTAATTTTATTAAATTGTGGTATGTACATGTTGATCTCAAACTATTTCTGTTACATCACTGTGGTTTACATGATATCATAAAGTAAACACCTTATCTCTTACACCAGATTAAAAAGCAAACCAAAAGAACCCCAAATTCAGTGTTGAGTGACTGAGAAGAAATCAACCATAAAACCGAAGGCATGCTGTCTTCCGTTCCTGGCACAGGGAAAAAAATGTTTGGCAACATTTGTAGTAAAGGAAATACCAGTTTTCCCTTCCATCTAGTGCTACTACCTGTTAGTTTTCAAGCTACCAAGGAGTCTTTCCTCCTAGAAACGTAATAAATTGCTTCTTACAGAAATGTCAGACCAATATAGCTGTCATAAAACTTTCTTTACCTTGAATGCATGAATTTGTGATTCCGTTTTCTATAGCTCCCTGGACTTCTTTGGGCAGTTCTTCAATGACACCCACAGCATACTCAATGGCAGGTTTTGTGGTTGCTCTCTCCCCTAACCTAGGCCTCACCTCTAACTCTGCAGTTACAAAATGTCGTTTATCTCCTACTGTTTTGTCCAATACATCTGGGAGCGTTGGGGGGAGAAGAAAGAAAAAAACCCATGAAACAGCCATTTGGAAACAACACTAATACATAAAATTCATCTGACAGTTACTCATAAGAGCATGTAAAGTATGGCATAAAGTGCCAGAACCAGAAACAAGATGTTCCTTCCATTCACTTGTTTTACCTGTAGCCTGGGCAGCATTTAGGATTGTTTCTCTGTATGCTATTTGAAGAGGTCCCAAATAAGTCTCAATTCCATATTCACGTTTGATTCGGTCATGAATGATCTCTATGTGCAGTTCTCCCATGCCACAAAGAACAGTCTAATAAGAGAGTTAAGAGAGTAGAGGAAAACCATGCAAAACTCAGGTTTTAATATAAACTCTTTACACAAGGACTTGCATGCTGGTAATAGTCTCTCAGAAATATTTCAAATGCCAAGGTGCCTACAGAGAAAACAGGACTGCTTTAGATCATCTGACATAAACACCACGTAAGTGACAGAGTTATTACCACTACTGTGACCACTACAAAAAAGGTTATTCAATAGTAATTCATGCTTTTTTAAAATACAGAGCTGTCACAAACACGCAGAGCACAGGATGACTTCCTCTTCTCTGTAAAGGACGAGTGGACAAGGCTCCATTTTAGTCTGATGCACAGAACTTTGTAAATACATGTTATGAACAGCAAGTCCTTTCTATTCAAGAAAACCTCAGTATGTAAATGAACTAACTGAAGAGCAGTCTTGACAGTTCCAAAATAAAGCTTGGTTAAAGGCAGGCAATAGAAGTTTCATCTTACTTGTCCTGTGTCAGGATCTAGCTTCACTTTTAAGCTTGGATCTTCACGCTGAAGGCAGCTCAATGCATTATCCAAATCTGTACATAAATATCAAACATTATGTCTACAGAGACTTCAGTAATTTGAGAATCACAATGAATGTATAAACATCACTTTCTCATAAGGTCAAATCTTATTCTCAGAAAAAATCCAAAGGACACTAGAGAAGCATAGATTTTGGCAAAGTCAGCTCAAATTACAAACAACTTGCAAATTCTGATTCTCTCCCAACAAATTAATTGCATGCTAAGGAGTACTTTCATTTGACCATTAAAAATGCTATTTTTGGAGTGGTATTTTGTACTTGTATGAAGAAAGAATGGAGCCTGTGCTTGATCAAGTCAGTAAAAAGTACTGCTCCCTATTTACAGATAAGAAAAATTGTCAACTAACTAAGCACGACAGTAGGAAATGAAAGTGCTTCAATCTCTTCTATCAGAATGAAGAACTACTATTTTTCTAGACACAAAATCTAGAAAAGTACTAGTACTGCTTGACATGGCAATAGTATATGGACATGTCCAGGATATGGACAACCATGATCTAAAATATACCATCTGTGCAGAACACCAAACAGGGCCTTACTGGATCACAGACTGATAAATTTGTGCAACCCATTCATGTCAAGCAGGTGAGAATATGGTTATGCTCGAGTACCTCATTTGTAGAATATCTTATCATATTCCTAGGTAGCTATGTTGTACCTTGTTGTTTGGCCATTGAAGGAGGTTCAATTGTACAGAAGAAGACGGGGTCAGGGATCTCCACGCCTGCCAGCAGAAGGCTCTCTATGTTACTGCTAGATCTTTTCTCTCCCCCAGCATCCCTTTCAGCTTGGCGTGCTGCAGCTACCGCTGAAGCCTTTGATGACACTATGGTATCTCCAGTGGCACTCTACAGATCAACGCTCAGTCACCCAAAAGACACAGGATGGGGAGAGGAGGGAATATGCAAAAACAAAACAAAACCTCCCAAACAACACCCCTCCCCCACAAACTAAAACCACAAACCCTGACCATTTCTCTTCCTCAAAACCACTTGTGCTAAACTCCACTTATACACTTATTAATGAACAATTATTGTAAACAATTACTCTTCAAATAACTAAAATAATCTGGAAGAGGAAAATCTGTGATCAAATTTAGACTAACCTATCCTTGCACAGTTCACTGCACTTTAAAGTCTAACTTACCAGTCAAGATACAAAGCCACAAAGAACAGCACTGCTAAATTAAAATCTGCTTACGCATGACAAAGTTGATTACATTTAAAAAAAATCTGTGCAGATGAGATCTATGCAGCCTGTTCAGACAACAAAACACCGAATTGCTAAACTAACAGAAGCAACCCTGAAACAAACTTGCTTGAACTCAAACTGTTGCTTTTGAGTGACTTATTTTAACATCACCCTCCTTCCCCAGAGATCTCTCCATGGCATTACAATGTATTTGAAGAGCTACAATATACATCGAAGATCAGAACCCCATTAAAACACAACTTGAGTTTTCATTCCACATAATCAGTACTGCATCTCTGAGGTACTGACATTTGTACATTGTAATATTACATTTTGGGGGGAAGTACATGTACAAGTACTTCAAATAAAGCAAGTTTACATAAGTCACAATAATCAAGAACACTTCTGAGATAAACCACCACAGAAGCAGAAAGGACACTAGTGAAACAAGCTCCCTTAACATAATCAGTATTTTCCATTACCTGTTTCAACCCAACAGTAAGGGCAATGTTGCCAGGCATTAGTGATGGTATTTCAATTTGCTGATCAGCAAAAGGGAGGAGCAGCCGGCTCATTCTCTCCCTGAAAATGAAATTCTTGTATTACATGGGACTTCTAACAGACGTTCTAAGGCTACATTAAGTCACACCTCTGTCTTACTCACGTGCAACTCTTGTTAATATTATAAACAGCTGACTGAGGTTTCAGTGAACCTGAGTAAACACGAATGAAAACTAGCGGTCCACGACATTTATCATGGAGAACTTTAAATGCTAGGGCACATAGGTCATCCTTGTACCATTGTCTGCAACATAAAAAAGTAGGATTAATCCACTCAAACTCACATTTACCTATATTTCCACTCATTTAAGAAGCAACAGGTTTCTTACTGTAACAGAGGCAGAATTAATAAAAAAAACATAATTTATACTAAAAAACATTAACCTAAGCAATTTCAGCTCCAGCAGGATACACAAAATATCATGTGGCTCAGCCAGTACTAAAGATGATTCCTAGACCCCAGTTTCGTAAAATGGCAGTATACTGAGATTAAAAATAGACTTTAGAACTCCAAAGTGCAAGTTTGATAACTGGAGATAAATGCACACAATTCCAGTAAAATTGAGCAAAGAAGGGTCAGTAGTCAGGTGTGTTTTTTATATCTGCACATCTCTACTGTTATTTAATAAACAGACCAGTAAACATTTTTAAAGATATGGATGCTTTGTTAATATTTTTCATTTTCTCCTTTTATGCTTTCCTACTATGCTATTTATGCTTTTTCCTGACCCTCCTTTCCTCCCTCTACTTACAGAAACTCATATGAACGCTCATTAGGTGCAGGCAGGTACATAGTAACAGCATCCAGTAACGGCTGCACTCCTTTGTTCTTCAGTGCACTGCCACAGAGTACAGGTACTGCTTTCTGAGCTAGCGTGACTCTGCGGATAGCAGACTGTAACTGCAAAAAAAGAATTAGTTTCTGTTAACATGAACTACAGTTTACCCTTAAACTACATTACAGCTATCAGATATTGCTAACAAATCCCCAAAAGTTAAAAACCGTGCCTGCAAATACAACAGCACTCATCCAAACTCCTGTTACTGCTTTTAATGAGCTGCAAACCACAAACCAAATTGTTCAGGTTTCTGAACATTTCATGCAGATCTGCACCTGTTCCTGTTCTAACAGTCCTTTTAATTCAGAATGTTGTACCTCACCACTTTCAACATGCAGTGTCTGAAGATCTAACCATTCACAGAAGCCAAGATGCTACTTTTGTTAGTAAAAGTCACCAGCTCAGACATGTACTGCACTGAGTCCACCTGGAAATTCCATTCACCTTTCCCTAAACTCTTTTGCAGCAGCCTAACTTTAAAAAAAAAACAACAGACAAAATAACCACACAACCAAGCAGCCACCACTCCTGAACAAAGGTACCCTATTTTTAACATTGTGCCTAGCATGTCTAAGAATCATAGTTATTGCATTACTGTAAAAAATTAAAGTAGTAAGCTTGACTGTATTTTCCTAAATTCAGTGCTGTAAATTCACTACAAAAGCTGATGTGATTTTTTTTGTTGTTGATAAAAATGCACATCTGCAAAATCATCAGCTGCATGTACCAGAGGAATTAAAAAAAAAGCCCTTCAGGATAAGAACCAGCAAAAACTTTTTTATGAATAATGTAAATAATGTGAAAATTACCTTATCAGCTGGTATTAAGTCCAAATTTTCACTGTATTCTCCTAGAACCAGTTCAGCAAATTCATCATCCAGATCTGCAACCTTCAACAGAATAGTTCTTTATTTGGCATACAGCAGTCTCACAGACAAGTCACAAATCTCAGTTGTTCAGTATATATAGCTAAAAAGAGCAGGAACGAAGCCTTTAAAGACATCATAGATCATATACTCAAACCATAGAAAAATATGGGAATGAAGGTTCCAAGAAAGTATGGGGATGGGGGAATGAATTTATAAAGCTGCTGTCAGGCAAAACATCAGTGGGAGAGAGAATATTTGTTCTCCCTGAAACCGAGAAAAACCTGCAGCCATACAGTGACAGCTATGCAAGGTACAACTGAATGTATTTCACATCTGCAAACAGGGCAGTCTGAAGTAAGCAGCAAGTAACCTCTGTGAGCTGGACAAAAAGAGACAAGCTTTCAGGGCATTTTAACACCCCTCATATCAAAGGCTTGTAGGTCTAAGAGCTCAACTGTGTTTTCAAACTGTACCGCCAAGGCTGACAAATAAAACTACTCCTTTGCAGTGCCATAGGCCAAGGACAAGCTACATATAGGAAGGCATTTTGCCCCCTCTAGTGGCTACGACAGCAATTGATCAAATACTGTATTGATACACAGCAGGGATCAACTAGGAAACAGCTCTGCAGAAGTCAACCAGAAGGTCCTGATGGACAAGTGAGCATGAGGCAGCAGCATCCCCTTTCAGTGACAAAGGCTAACTGACCACCAGGCTGCAGCACCAAAAGCATGGCCAGTGGATCAGGGCAAAAGGTTAGTACCCTCTACCATGCACTTGTGAAGCTGCATCTGAAACATTGTCAGCTTTTAGGGTCCCCAGCACAAAAGAGACTGACAAACTGCAGCAAGTCCAGTGGAAAAGCACTCAGGTGGCTGGATTGCAGCCAGAAGCCCAGAGAGATGGGTCTCTCTAACTTGGAGAGGCTAAGGCAGGATGCAAATGCTGCCTCTTACTACTTGTAATGGTGGGGTGGTGGGCCAGAAAAACAGAGCCAGAGTCTTCTCACATGTACACAAGGAAAAGACAAGTGTCACTGTCACAGGTTGCAACATGGTAAATTCCCACTGGATAAAAAGAAATGATGTTCTACTACAAGAATGATCAAGCACGGGGAAGGCTGCTTAGACAGCTTGCAATGATCATCCTTAGGGATGTGAAAACTCAACTCAAGAAGACCTGAGAAACCTGATCTAGCACTGAAGTTAGGCCTGCTTTGACCAGGTCAGGAGACACCTCCAAAGGTCCCTTCTACGCTATTTTTGTTACTGGTCTAAATAACGGGTGTAAATATATTACGCATTTACTTTAGAACTTTACTTGTTCTATTAAAGTATTTCTGGCATCCTGGACTTCTTGGAACAGGTTGGGATCATCAGATTCCAGCAGCAGCTTTTGCTCAAAATTTTTTCCATCATCCAAATCAGAAGTAGGTTTCCAAATTATTTGTTCCTTAGTGACCACATCAACCAGTCCTCTGAAGGTCTTGGCTTCCCCAATGGGCAACTGCAAATAGAGTAGAGATTTTAGACAGCTGCAAAGCACTAAGAAAGGAAGCCTATTCAAAAGATAGCAAGTAAGCATTTAATATCTAAGCTTACCTGTAAAAGCAAAGGTTTTGTCTTCAACTTTTGTTTGATACTCTCAACAGCATATGTAAAACTACGTAAAAAAAAAAAAAAGATACTAAGTTACACAAAACATAGAAAAATCAGTTTATCATTCCTTATTTACTGCAAAAATGACCATAAAAATATGCATCTGTGTAACCAAAGATACATATAGTAAATATAATTGCCTTATTCTATGTTTAACAGAAAAACTTTAACTGGATTAGATGCATTCTCTTACAAGATTTTTAGCAATGATTAAAGTAACTGTCCAAATACCTTGCCCTGCTTTTGTCCATCTTGTTCAAAAAGCATATTCGTGGTATCTGATGTTTATCTGCTTGTCTCCACACTGTCAGAGTTTGGGCCTAAAGCAAAAGGCAAAATGGAAACATTAGTGCTGACAGCTGAACTATACACTCGCCAGTATGGCTGAGGGGCTAAATTCAGAGTACAGGAGGAAACTGTGCTGAAAGTGCTTCAACAACCCCACATCCAGCAGCACAGATGAACTCCACAAGCAGCTTTGTCTCATCTTATCTCTCAGCTATCACTACTCCCCCTCCCTTGCTAAGGGCACACAGGCATATGGGAAAGGAACATGGAGAGAAACTAAGCCTTACAACGGATAAATATGGAAAGAACTCAGTAATGTAGAGACTAAGGCTTTATTGATAAGCTACTTAAGCATACACAGACAAGCATTTCTGTGGCTACACAAACAACAGTAAAAACTGCTGTGGTTTTGGCTAGTAATTTGTGTACTGCTGAGCTATTTATGATACACACTTTTGTTTTAAAGTCAAAACAGGCATATATGAAAATCAGTTCAGATTCAGAAATAGTCTCTTACCAATACATGGAAATTGTGCAAGAATTTCCTACACAGTTTCAGAAAAAACACAGCAGATCTAATTGGTTTGTTGTTGGGTGCAGGTGCTGTTACGCAGCTCAGGCTCACATATGATGGCACCTAAATGCTTTCCAATAGCAAGTTAAACCATGTGATTCACACTGATCAAGAAGAGTTCCCTCATCAAGAAAAAAGGCATCTCCCATGGAACACAGCAATTTTACAACACGTAACTTATGTATAGGACTGAACTACTCAAACCTCCCATGCTATAATGTCAAATTCCAGCCTGTCTCCACCCTTTCCGTACTACACCTCAAAGGGCATGTTAAATAGGCCACTGGGGAGTGAGAAATTCTCTATGAAAATAATTTTATTTTCTACATGACAACTGAAAATGAGAAATGAACAGGTATTAATTTCTTTCCACTGGTGGAGTTAGCAAGAAGCATTCACCTCAATGTCTGCATAGCACAGCAACAAAATAACCACCTCACCAGGTATTAATGCAAATTCCATTTAGTTGTCCCTTATTAACATGGAAATACCGCTACACTGAAGGACTTTAAATAAAAAGCACAGCTTCCTGAAGCTGAACTTTGATCAAAGCATCAAAAGAGATAATGCAGAGCAACATCTGTGTACTATTATTATTATTTCGGTCTAAATCATTAGAAAAAACAAACAAACAAAAACGGATTATTTTTACCTCAACACCAGCTGAAGCATCAAATACCGCTACTGCTCCATCCAGCACTCTTAAACAACGTTCAACTTCCACTGTAAAGTCCACATGACCTAATAAACAAACTTCCTTTTATACCATCATAATTCAAACTGGTAACATCAACAGGTGATTACATTTTCAATTTAATCATATCAAAACAGCCCTGTCTTCATTTGCAGAGAAATCTACCATCAGTCCTTGAAAGACACAAGACTGTTACATTGCAATCTCAGAACTGAGAGCAATTTAATGTGGAAATGTCTGACCTCACCTTGAAGAAGCTCGATTAGGCACCATTAAACAATAATTAGCCAAAGCTGAATGGAGCTCAGTATAGACCTTTTTACTGATGCAATCAAACCAATTAAATATTGCACCATATTTAAAACTAAGACACTCTACAACAACCCACCTAATCTACTCTTCCCTAATAATACGTGTACTGCTGAAGTGCAGTACCTGGGGTGTCAATCAAGTTGATTCTGTAGTCCTTCCAGTCGAACGTAACAGCAGCAGACTGAATGGTAATACCACGTTCTCGCTCCTGTACCATAAAATCTGTCACTGTATCCCCATCATCAACATCTATGAACAGAAAGCAGGATTATAGCTGGTAGATAAATAATCCAAAACCTGAAATTGTCATCTGATCAGATGCCAAGAGAGATTTGGAAATGCTATCCCTTTTATATATGTACAAATGATGAAAACTAGCCTTTTCCAAAAAACGGTCATGTCAGCTAATTTAAGCAGGCTCCCTTCCCAGGGAACAAACGCTCTCTAAGTTAAAGGCAAGCAATTCCAGCAACGTTTTCATTGTTCTTAATCCTAGTAACACCACACTAAAGTGAAATCCAAAAACATGAACAAACTACAGCTAAAAAACCCCCAAACAACCCAAACCAAAAAACCCACCAAAAAACAAACAAACAAACAAACAAAAAACCCAAACAAAACAAACACACACCAAAAAAAAACCAACAAAAAAAACCCAGACAAACAAACAAACCAAACAAAAAAAAAAACAACCCAAACCAGCTGCACTCATTGTATGGAATGTGACTTACATTTTAGAATTTATTAATTAAAAGGTAATTAAGTTAAAACTAAATTTAACTGGAATTCCGCCCTCCCACGACACCCAGAACAAAGAGGAGGTTGTGGTTGTGTTGTTTTTGGTTTTTTTTTTTTGGTGGTTTTTTTTTGTGTGTGTGGAAGGGGTTGTTTTGGGATTTTTTATAAAAAAGAAGCAGTTCCACATTTTTAAACAAGCAGGAAACAGACCACCAAGTTCAACTGCTCCATAAGCCTAACATCTACCATTCCCATACACAGTAGAAAATGGGGAATTATATTTAAAAGGCCAAAATGTAGCACACATGGAGACTTGTGTGACTCTTCCAATCTTGAAGAACTTTGTGAGAATTGCTGATGCAAGGAATTCTTCCTGTGCTGTGGCTTTCAACAGGAATGGCTACTTTTTGTTAGTCTAGTTTCTTTACAAGTCAAACCAGAACTGAAAAAACAGCTTACCAGAACAGGTGATGAGCATCAAGTAAAACAAGGAGATCCTCTAATTATATGTTGAATAAAACACAGTCCAACAAAAGTAAAATATGAACCTATGATCTCTCAAAGTACAACTGCCTTTGAACATAATGAAATGTGTATTAGCATCTCATTATATTCCAGCACAACTCTGGAACATACTCTTACCAGTAACCTCTAACTGCACTGCAAGTTACTGTATACTATTAAATGACATTCAGAAAGTATTTCTAACCTCCAAGGGTTCTTATGTATCCAGAATAATACAGCATTCTCTCTGTTGTGGTAGTCTTCCCTGCATCAATGTGGGCCATAATGCCAATGTTTCGGATTCTGCATAAAGCAAAAACATTGCTTTTACTGTGGCAATTTTTTATTCCGTGATATTGTTATCTGCATAAGCAATTAATATTCACTTAGAATAGCACATCAGATTAACATTTTTCTTCTGCTGCATATTTGAGACAGTGTACTTTCTGAAATAGAAGCAGCCCCTCCACCATCTCCTCTATTCCAACCACTAACCCTTGATGCCTGAAACAATCCATCATATACACACCCTTTACTCACCAGCAACTTCCAAAGTTCCTTCACTACTTCCCTCCATCACAGGCTTGCCATCAGCCCCCATAATCACTGTTAATGCTAGCTGAATTCGCCTTTAGGACAGTAATAGTCTTCTAAGAGAAATTCACCCCCAAGCCATTCCTTTGGCAGCTCACCCTCTAATTACCTTGGCCTCCTTACTAAGGCCCTCATCTAACACAGCTGAGTGATCCCATGAACACAAAGTTCCCTGCCCACAGCCATTGTCTAGATCCCCCAACATCCCTTACCCCTTGTTCAGCTTCCTGCACCCATCATGGATTTGGAGCTTCCCTAAGAGCCCAGTTCTGGTTCTGATGATGTAAAAAAGAGACAGTCCAAGACCCCTTTGACACCAACAACCACTCCGTGTTGAAATGTCAGAAGAGTAAGGTAAATAAATACTAACTTCAATGTAGAACATGCACTTGAACTATGCAGGTGATGGGCATAGCAACAACCTATGAGTTTTCATCACATCAATTGCTCTGACTGCCAGTTACACCCAAAAAAGAAGCTAGCTTGACGTACCTGGATATATGAGGATTAATAACAGAACGCAGGGACTTAACATCTCCTAGAGACAAATAAGACAACAATTTTTAAGATTTATCTCAATGCAGAAATCATTCTAACAAAATTAAATATATTTAAGAAAGCTCCTAAAAACTTACTAAAACAAAGATTCAGATTCAAATTTCTACAGATACATATTTTCAACAAATTGCTCTCTTGCTCTTACAAAAAAAAACACAAAACAACAAAACTCTTCAAAACAGTTGTAATTCAGAAACAATAGGAAAAAGCCAACACCTAACAGTACCACCAGCACAGCAAAATCTTACTCTGCAGGAGCAGTAACAAAACTTACCACAGTTCAACAACTGTAATGCTGACATTCATCTGAACCAGCTATAAGCAAATTTCAAAAGTCATTTCTCCTTCAAACGCTGAAGCTAGACAGCATAATCCTTCAGAAGAAAACACAAACTGACCTACGCTAAGAAAACATGGGAGTGCGTTTTACGTTATTGTTTTCTTAAAATGTATTTCCTCTCTCACACACTATTTAGTTGGAAAATAAGCTGTCAGATGTGGGTGGTGGGATAGAAATAGCTAACAAAATGGATCCAGGCGTTATCGCCCTGGTCCAGCTTAAGCCTAGGGAACAGTGAAGAAAACACCAGGTGTTAATGCCTTGGTCTGGCCTAAACCTTGGGAACTGTAAAGAGAACAATGAAGAGTAAAGATCAGTTAGCAAAACAAAGCAGGTGGTTTGCAAGATAAAGCAGGATGTGCATCTCAAAGACAGACCAAACAGCAGTTTTGCTAAATTGGGATGATAAGGGAGTAAAAGAGTGGAAAGTTATTGCTTAGCACTTAGTAGACTATAAAAGGGATGCGAGATGCGAAATAAAGGTCTTCAGATTTCACCAGAACTGGAGTCTGTCTTTGAAACGTCACAGCCAGGCTATATTTTTATGAGACTAATCCATAATTCAGTGACTTAAATCATTTAAGTGGCGTTTCAGAAAGGTGTCCTGCTACTTTATCTTTAGTACATCAAACTGAACTCAACAGTATTTAAACTAACATTCCTTCACCATATACAATAGATCATCCCTCTTACCAGAGAGACATTAACAAAGCATCTTAAAGGTTAACACTTTGATGAGGAGAAAGACTGATCTTAGGAGAAGCATGGTATCAGGCTGGAAATTCACCAACACCTACCACCACCCTAAATAAAACCTGCAAATAACACTTCCTTTTTCCCTCCAGTTTCTAAAATAGCCCATAAAATAACACATTAGTACATTGCACATTTCTTGCTTGCCTAAATCATGATACCTTCTTGTGTATGGAATGAAGCGCTGCCTCCATGTGACACACTGAGATACTCAGCACAGCAAAACAGAACATAAATACAGTAGGCACCAATGACATTGCAGAAACAACTATAGAGAAACAGCAATACATGGCAACTGAGACTGTGCTGACATTAGCTATTAAGAGTAAGTCTTCTCAGGTCTGTGACTGTAGGTTAAAAGCTTTTGCTAAGATACACAGTGCTGAATTCATTAACATTTTGTTTTTAAATAAGCTGGTTACCCACCAGTAACCAATATTTTCTTCCCATCTCCACCTTGATGTAAAGAAAGTGCGGAAAAAGAAGCCCCTTACTCTAACACTAGCTTCTATCAATTCATTTCCATTCATTCTCAGTGTAGTTACTCAAAAAATAGAAAAAATCCCTTTTAACTGAATTTTTGTTTTCCAAGTATCTTATTCTTTTTACTCTCTTTTATCCTGAAAAGAAAATACATTAATGATAACGTAAAAATTCCATTTAATCAGGTTCCTGTCTTTGTCCCCTTGCCCAAGATGCTGGTTATCATCAGTTACTTGATAACTGATTAGTACTTCAGGCAACTGGACAGGAGTTCCATCACACTTCAAAACTGACCTGACTTCTTATATATCTGTATCTTTCCGTATTATTATTTTCTAAAAGCTTTATACCATACATCTGAGAAAAGAGTAGCAATACAAAACACTTCAGTCCTTAAACCTTTTAACTGCTTTCATTGTGCTTCATACACCAAATTCTATAGATAATGACCGGAAGAATTCAATAAAACACAATACAGAAAGTATTCTTACTCATTTGTTGAGTAACACTTATTATTAAGAAAATAATTTAAACTTATACCTGGTGGAGAACTGTAGCTTCTTAGACAGCAGTTTTGCTGTACCATACTTATGACTCCCATTTTTGTGTTCCTGAAATATGTGTGCTTAAAAGAGAGAAAAAAATCATACAGAATATTTATCATTATAAATATTACTTCATAGCTACATATTTGCCTGTAGAAAAATAAACTAAAAAACCCTAAACATCTAAAGGATTGGATACTCTTGCTGGCTACTTAGATAAGCTTAAAATACCAGATATTTGGAAGCAGAAGCATGAAGGCAGTAGCACTGAGATTTAAACCAAGTCCAATCCCAATATTATTTTGCAAGTCTAGTAAAAATCTATGATAGCATCAAAACATGCTGGTAGCCACAATATTTTAAATAGGTCTAATTATTTATGTAAATAATATAAACTTAACAATGACAAATGTGAGGTAGTCAAAATCACAGATAACTAGAAAAGTTTACAGAAAAGTTACAAATTCAACTTCCACCCTCTGACTTCTGTCACACCTAATTCCAACATGAAATTATGCATTCTGTTTGCAGTTTACTCAGACTAACCTAAGTATTTTGTTTGCTCACAGGCTAAACATCAAAATTTGGGAAAAAAGTTTACCTCACTGCATAAACTTGATGACTTCAATGTGTTCACTGAAAATTTCCTTGTAATTCTTAACATCCTGGCTCCTGTTTCTAAAGCTGTTCCCTGCCAAGATAAGTAAACATTATACAAAATGTTTATGACAAGAAATCGGTAACTGTATTACTTCCATATATATCAAATATGAAATTTAACTGTTTTTTAAGTTGTATCATGTTACTGTTCTTCAGGTTACTGCTCTGCAGATTAAACAGGTGTTATCATCTGTAAAAGTCTAACAGACTTTAAGTAATTATTGATCTACATCATTAAGCCTTAAAAATGCAGTATAAAAGCATGTCCACCAACACTAAATACGTGTCATAAAGAAATTAGCAAACAGTAAAGCAGAAAAATTAACATCAAGAGTTCACACTCACATAAGCTCCAGAGTATGGGTTACAAATCTGTGAAGTGCAAACAGCTCTTCTGATCTGGAAGGGACAGAGGATGGGCAAGGAAAACGACCTATTTGGGACATTAAAAAAAAAAAAAAAGCCAAATATTAACCACCATGAGTTTTTAAACATTGCCCAAACCACTGTGACACAGAGCCCAAAACCAGCAGCTTCAGCCGCATTCCTAGCTGGCTGCTGCTTATTTTGGAAAACACCAATATCCGATGCAAAGGGTTAACCAACATACAGGGGGGTTAGGATTAAGCCACTTGCCTGACAATGTTACTGCTCGTTCACGCTTACTGTACTCGCCGTGTATACTAGAACAAGACGTAAGGACATGGCTATTGTTAAGAGACAGGGACCGTGACTTGGTTCCCATCCTTTGGACGCCCAGGCCTGCTGAAATTGGCTCTGCGCTTTGGACAATGACCAAGCCTCCGGGGAGCATACGTAACGACTGGAGATGAAAAGTTCAGGGTCGAGAAAGACTCATTTACTTCATCTTGAGACCATCACCCCCGATTACTAGGAGGCACTGCGCAGGCGCAAAGGACTTCTTAGCTCATTATAATACGAAGCGGGGATAGGACATGAATATGTATAGGCGTGTTGTGCAACCTCATGCCTATGTCTAACTTCAGAGGATAAACGCAAAGGGGAAACGATGCTCATGCCTTTGGAGGAGCTATTCCCCATGCACCTCAGCGCTGAATAAAAGCATGCCTACTTTACGACTTTAACGAGTTGTGGAGTCTATCCTAGTACCATGTCCAGTTGCACCCCCACCTTACCTTACGAGCCACACACTCGACCTCCAGAGCCAGAGCCGCAGGGCGCTGACCCGCGGGGCCGGGCGGCAGCCGTGCCCCCAAGCCGCCCCTCGCCCGCCGCCGAGCCGGGCGGCCGCTGCCCCGCTGCGCTCCGCACACCGACAAGTCGCTCCCGGCCGCGTCAGTCCGCAGGGCCCTGCCTCCGGCCGAAGCGCCTTAACACGGCCAGGGCTGGGCTTGCCGGAAACAGCCTCCATACCGACGGAAGGCGCGCTCCTCTTTCCTTTCCCCGCCACCCAACCGCCCTCCCACGGTTCCGTCCTCCTGCCCTGACCCGACAGGCCCAATCTGCAGACAGCGCTGCTCCGGCCTCCGCCGCTCCATTTCCCTCTCCTCTGGCCCTGACAACTCGGGCTCTTAGCCCTCGGGGGCCGCAAGCCGCTTTTCCGCCAGGAGGAACCAAAGCTCCGCTGAGGAGCGTTTCCAGCCGGGGCCGCTTCCCCTCCGGCCCGGCCTTTCCGCTGCGGAGGAAGCCGCCGGACGGAGAGCTCGGCGTGGCGGGGGGGACAGAGCCATGGTGGGAGCCGGGGCGGCTGGGTGGGGAGGGACGGCGGCCACCGGGCGCGACGGGCCAGGGGTGAAGGTGGCCGAGCTGGCTCCGCCGCCCCGCGCTGAGGGTGCCGCCGCCGGGCCGCAGCCTCCTCGGGCTCCTCCGCGTGTCGCAGCGGCGCCGGGTCTCGGCGAGGGTGCGGGATCAGCTCGGCCGCCCGGTCTTCGCTCACCGCGCTGCCTTGTGCCCACAGCCGCAGAACGAGTACATCGAGCTGCACCGCAAGCGGTATGGGTACCGCCTGGACTACCACGAGAAGAGGAGGAAGAAGGAGGGCCGCGAGGCTCACGAGCGGTCCCGGAAGGCCAAGAAGATGATTGGGCTGAAGGCCAAGCTCTACCACAAGCAGCGGCATGCCGAGAAGATACAGATGAAGAAAACGTGAGTACCAGCCTCTCATGGCGCCGTACGGGCATCCTGGCATTTGAAGGATGAGGCGGGACAGTAATATCATAACTAAGAACTAGTACCTGTTACTTGGTGTATTTTTAAATAGTGCTCAAGTTGTAGAAGAGAGTGGGTTTTGCCACATTGAAGACATTTCAGGTTTCCACTCTTGTCAGTGGATGTTAACAGTTCTGCTCGTAAAAGCATTCTTTAAGATAGGTGTTAAATAGCAATAGCACTGACTAATGTAGTTAAGACAAAAATATGAATGCATTTACTTGGGTTTATATCAAGTGCTGTACATTACTACAGCAATAGGCAGCAGGCCGTTTTTTAGCAGTGTTAATACAAAACATACAGTAACACGGACAGTATTTGATCAGAACATGACGCTGGTTTTACAGGATAAACTACAGTATCAGGCATAGATAAACAGATGCATTTTCCTGAAAAATTATTAACTGTTATTAGAAACTGAAATTTAAGCTGTTAGCAATATTAATTATTTCTAATGAACTCAGTAACTATCCACCATGTTGCTTTGCTAGTTTTCCAAGTGTAAACAGTAATTTTCCTCTGCTATTTGTAAAGGTGTTGGATTTGTTAACTAGTTTGTACATCTTCTCCCCCCTCCCCACATGGCCTCAAAATGAAAAAACACAACTCCTACGCACATATATGCCTCAGATTTGCAAGCATTGCTATCCAATCTGAGGAGCAATTTGTTATTTTTTGTTGGAGAGGAAGGCTGTAATCTCTCAAAGTACTTGGCTGCTTGCTTTAAGTGATTCAGAAATTCCTTCATAAAATGCGTATCTTGTGTTTCAGTCTTAACAGGAATAGACAGGCTTTTATGCACTGTGGAGCCTGTCAGTTGTTACATTACATGAAATTACTCTTTTACCATGAAAAGAATTTAGGATTATTCCTTAAGTATACATACGCACTTCTTTACAAATGTCTCTTGAAATTTTCATCTGGCACAAGCTAAATTTATATCTAAAAATAAGTGTGGTTTTTTTCCCTATTTTGATACTGTTTTTCTTTCATTGCAGCATTAAAATGCACGAAAAGAGAAATGCAAAGAAAAAGAATGATGAAAAAACACCTAAAGGAGCTGTACCAGCATACCTGCTGGACAGAGAGGGCCAATCCCGGGCTAAGGTTCTATCTAACATGATCAAACAGAAAAGAAAAGAAAAAGCCGTAAGTAACTGTATTAAAATTCAGATACTTAGAATTACTTGTGACAGTGACCACTTTGAGTGGCTGATACTCAGGTGACTTACAGCCTATAAGAAATGTCTAAGTAAAACCTGAAACATTGAGCAACTGAAAAGTAAGCGTATGCAGTATCACAACATTAATAACTTTAAATGCTGATTAAAATAAGTTGGCTATGAGTTGTATAAAAAGTCTGGTCTACCACTACGCTTTAGGGTTGGTTTTTTTAATTCTTTGGTTATTCCTTCATTTAGCAACCTAAGACTGTTGACTGTTCTAGGGGAAATGGGAAGTTCCTGTCCCAAAGGTCCGTGCACAAGGAGAAACTGAAGTTTTAAAAGTGATTCGTACAGGAAAGAGAAAGAAGAAGGCCTGGAAGAGAATGGTCACAAAAGTTTGCTTTGTTGGAGATGGCTTTACCAGGAAGCCTCCTAAATATGAGCGATTCATTCGACCAATGGTAATGTCCTTGAGCCTTAAAGCATGTTCAATTCTTTGACTTACTGCTTTGAGTTCCTGTGGGAGGAAGCTTTCTTCTATGATAATGCACTTGATTACTGTTGATGTAGAACACTTCTATTAGTTCCCTTGCAGAAATCTAAACTTCTGATAACCTGAGGGTAGGGAGATGCCCCTGCAGCCACAGCCTGTGCTGAAATACCTCTGCTCATACTCCCCTAACTCAGGTGATGCCAGTAAGTCAAAGCTGCAAGCTCTCAAATTAGCACAGAAGGCCGTTAGCAAAGACACACTGAATAGCTTTTAAAGTTGGAGGCTTCTTTTTCAAGCTGCTATGGTTCTGTCAGCTGTAAAAGCCATCTCTCTTCTAGGATTCCAGAATTCCTTCAGTTTGGCTTGTTAAGTAAGCTTGAAGCACAGTCGTGACTGTACACAAGGGAAATGCTGTGTCTCCAGCCTGACCTTTTCTTACACACCTGCAGAACAGTGCCGGGGCTCTAGCAGCCTGGTGGTGTACAGGAGAAAAAAAAACCTGAATCACCAAGACACTGTCTTCTAAAGGTCTTCTAAAGTACCTGTTCCTGTTTTCTCACAGGAATCAACAGAATCACTATGCAGGCTGCCTGTTGGATCATACCTCATTACTATTTTGATGGTCTTACATGGAAGACTAGATTTTTAATGTCATGAAAGATTTTCTGATATTTAATGGTGAAGTACCCTTCACAAAGCACAGGTCACTAGATAGTGTTATAAGAGATGGGCATTTCATATTTTACAGCATGTGAAAAAGATTTTTCAGCTTTATAAGAAGGAAAAAATTTTTAGTCTTAAAACCCTGTAGCACTCTTAAATGCATTACCATAACTACCTCATTTCTTAATGGAACAGAAGCCATCTGAGATAGCAAGCATTATTCTTATACTACGACTGAAAATGGTCATTCTGAAAACATATGTGGATAACTTTATCTTGTTATTGATCCGTTTTTTGAGTAAATCTGGTCTTACATAGTAAGCAGACAGCATTCTATGTACTAAATCATTTCATTCTTACCAGTATCTCAAAACATAGGAAACTGAGAATATAATGCTGAAATTAAACTAAGATTAGTCATGAGGCCTTAAAACAAATAATAACTCATTCTAACATTCCTTATGCAACAGGGCTTACGTTTCAAGAAGGCACACGTGACGCATCCTGAACTTAAAGCTACTTTTTGCCTACCTATCCTTGGTGTAAAAAAGAATCCTTCTTCTCCTTTGTATACCACACTTGGTGTAATTACCAAGGGTACCATCATTGAGGTGAACGTGAGTGAGCTGGGCCTCGTGACACAAGGGGGCAAAGTTATATGGGGTAAGTACTTTTGTATGTTTTTAGGTCTTTGTTGCCTGGTGTATCATTGAGCCCACAGCCTATAGTCATATGATCTTTGCTAGGTGTTAGCAGTTGTTTCAGCTACAGCCCAAACCTATGCAGCTCTAAAAATGCAAGCTTTAAGTGTTAATCTTAGGCTTTCCATTCACACTTTCAAATTAAGGGAAGTTCAGAATAAATATTCAGCTTGTTTGCCTGTGTCTCACACTAAGCAATGCTGCAAGTGTGTAAAGATGTAACCTTGTAACTATGAACAATTATAACGTTTTCAATGGAAGTTCCAGGTAGAAGCATCTTCATAGGACCAGGCTGTGAAGGGTCAGCAGAGAGGTTGACTTGGACAGTAGCAGAACCTGTGTTGGTTTACCGTCCCCGCCCCATCTACCCAGAACTCTAAATGATCCATTCATAAGAAACAGCCTAAATAAAATATTTTGGGAACCTCAGTTTGCAGCTCAGCAAAGATAAGATTTAGCTTTCAAAATGCATTTCAGGTTTGTAACAGGAATTCCCTTAAAAGAGACACATGGACTGCACTTGCAAACATGGACATTTAATTCCCTTTTCTCTCCAGGGAAATATGCACAGGTAACAAACAATCCAGAAAACGATGGCTGCATTAATGCAGTTCTGCTTGTTTAAGTTGTGTTTGATACTAAACATTGGACATGGGCTCCTGCAAAATCAGTGGAGTTTCAACAAGTTTGCAAGATCTCTGGAACCTTCAACCATTCAAGAATGTTGACCACCACCAGCTGGTAAAGAACTTAAAGATGCCAGAAACAACTGCTCGGGTTTTTGTATTTAGTATGTTTGTTCAGCTGAATGCTGTCCAAATAAAAGGATGCAATTTTCATGTTTTGCTAATGTAGTATGGATTTGATCTGAACTTTAGTGGTGTTTTTACAGTAGCAGTTTCCTGGCTTAGATATATTGTATAAATTCTTAATTCAGCTTACATTTCTAGTGATGGGAAATACAACCACTGTCTCACATGATGTCCTACTGTAATAGCTGAAGGTATAGAAGAATATATTAACTTGTACTCTGCTTCTGGGAAAGCAGAAGAGCTGGAAGAATGCAGCTAGAATCTTCCTGCAGTCTGACATCAGAAATTAAACACGCAGTTTGATACTTGCCTTTATGGAAGCATGGGCTATTTCCTACTCCATCATTATCTCAACATCTTTCTCCCCTCTGCCTCCATGGCTGCATTAATGGAAAGAATAAGGGCTTGAGAGTTCAGAACTGTAGTTCTAGGTAAGAGGAGAACAGTTTCATAAGTTTAAATATATGAAGTTGAAGGGGTTTTAAGATGTGAAATTTGAGAAAGGTATGACAGTCCTGATCCTACTTGTAGCTATTTTGGTGGCATTCAAGAAAAACTAAAGATCACAAGCATCAACTGATCAATATATGTTTAGCTTGTGTCTTTGAAATACAAGAAACAAAAGCTGCTTCTAAACTGGAAGCTTTTGGTGATTTATGTAACTGCATCAGTAATATTCGTGTCAACAATTTGGTAGCAGACAAATTCAGCACAATCTGTGACTACAAATAAACATACTTGCCTACTTAATACTCCGACTCTTAAATAGTACTTCATGCCAAGGAGCTTTTTAACACAAATTCCACATCAAATTAAAGCCTTACAGTCTTTCTCTAGTTTATGAGGGCACTCCAACCTCTTAATATTGTAAGAAGGAAACTTTCAAAGAAAACTTTCAAGATACTTCAGAAGCCAGACTATGAATACATTGGCATTGGGGATTTTTGTATTAACATGAGTTCAAGGTTAGAGGTGGTCACACTTGCAATAAGTAAATTGAGTGACAGATTATAGAATCACAGAGTAGTTAAGACTGGAAGGAATCTTAAAAGATGGTGTAGTGCAAGCCCCCTGCTTAAAGCAGAGTCTGCTAGAGCAGGGTGTCAGGGCCATATCCAGTCAGGTTTTGAGTATCTCCAAGAATGGGTACTCCACCACTTCTCTGATGTTTTCAGCCTGATCCAGTGTACGACCACTTTTGCAGTTTAAGACATTTTATGTTTAAGTAAAACCTATATTCTAGGTTGTCCTGTAAATGGGCACCACCAAGAGTCTTCGTCCACCTTCTTTATACACTCCACCACCTCCTCTCCCCCACCTGGTATTTGTACACAAAGATCAATCCTCCCGAGCTTTCTCTTCGCCAGTCTGAACAATTGCAGCTCTCAGCCTCCTGTATGACACATACTCCAATCCCCTAATCATCTTCATGATGTTTCAAATCTCAGATAATGTTTCAAATTTCAAACTCTGGCCAGTAAGTCAAGATAGGTGCTTTTGAACCAGCTTTCTTAACTTCTCTTACATTATATAGAGGCAGTACTTTAGCTATACCTCACCACCTTCTCCTCTTAACAGGCAATTTTGTTTGACAAGTTACCCTAGTATAAACTTAATAACTTGCTATGATTTTTATTTCTTTGTAGTGACAAGAGATTTGAAACTAAGAGAAGGCTGCAAGCCAGTAAGTCATTTGCTTGGAGAGAGGGCATTTGTGGAAACATAAGCCTCCACTGAAGTTCTTGTTACTTTAGCCTTTACTGCACATTAACAAGTCACATGAACAGAATACTTCCATTTTGTACAGCTGTCTCAAGAACGTTACTACATTTGTGCTATAAATATGTGACTTCTTGGCTGAATAAACATTGCTGCACTTAAGACATTTTAATCTACCATGCTGGGGCAGTGCATTAACAGCATTTCTAGTCGGCTTGTATATAGCAAACTACCTTAACAACTGCTGTTTATGTCATCTTGCACAGCTGGTATAAACAGCAGAACATACACTGTAAACTTCAGAACAGCCTATTCTACAGCTTTTATTAAAAAAAAAAGTGATCGATAAGCTAACTAGGTACAGGGAATTGTTTTAATTGATAGAATACATTTCAATTAATAATCTTTTAAGCTTTTAAAGCTCCTTGGTAGCAGGCAGATTGCAAAATCATGGCCATTCTAAGAAAATCGAACCACTTCAAAAATGCCTCCTGTATAGGAGAAAGGACTCTTACTATAAACCAAGCAAAAAGTAATCACAAAATATAAGTTTAATTACTACTTCAAAACATTTCAAAAGCTGCCAAGACAGTACTAAAGGAAAAACTGACAGTAACAAGACTTCAGTACAATACTCCAGAATAGTAATACAGCTTTCTTAAGATTCATAAACAGCATATCACTAGTTTAGAAAACATCTACCACCACTTGGAAGTGTATCCTTTTGGAAAGTTTCATAATGATCACTTAAAGCAGAGAAGCTGCAACTTGGGCCTATCTGTTGCGATGTTTAACTAAGTAGCATTCATGACATGGTAAATGACCAATTTGATTACTTCTGCAAATGATGCTGTATAAGGAGCAAAACAAAGGTCAGACGTAACTTCAAATTACTTAAGTACTTTTGAAATAAGACTTGAAATAAGGCATGTATACGCTTCCACATAAAGGGCTATGAAACATAAGAACAGCAAACAAGAACCCTACATGAAATGAAAATAGACCAAAAGATAATAATGAGAAAAGAAAAGTAAATCCTGTTAACAAGCAGTAAAAGACATTTGAAAAAACTCTTGGATTCAAATCCAGACCATTTACCATTTAAGTTCAAGGCTGAAGTCACAAATTCTTTAAACTCTATTCCTAGGCTAAATAAAGCTCAAAAATAATCCTCCTTGCTTTCACTGTACACATGTAGTTCCACAGCATGTTGTAATCTCATTTGGTACAAACTTGTATAAAATTGATGTTTTAAACATTGGTTGCTGGTGCAATAAGATCTTAAATTCTGTGAGTTTGATGGCAGCAAGACAGTTAATGGATCAAAGAAAGAAATCCTCCAAGCCTAAAAAACATTTTTTCCCCAAGGTAACGTGCTTCAGTCAGTACGGTGGTCAGGTATGTTCCCTTGTATTAATGGAACAAATTATATACTATTAAACTACTGTTCCAATGAGACAGTCAATACAGAAATAAAAACTTATTTAAAGTCAGTATTCTGATTTTGCTACTGCATTTACTGCATGACTGATGCCAAAGAAGTTGTTACAAACTGCACCCTTTAGTTCAAAGTATGGTTGCTACCACAGTTAGAACAAATGTCCAGTTTTCAAGACTGTACTAGTTACATAAATTGCTAATTGCACCCAACTGCCTACATTCCATATGTGACAGTCTGGCCATCAGCTACGATTTCAGGTACCCCAGATCTACAAAGATACCTACTCAAGAGTATACCTGGAGATGTGAATTTAAGTTCAGTACTTAAAACTGACTCACTGAAATGCAATCAGAAAGCTGACTGCTCATACTAGAAACCAAGACTGACCTAACCTGATGATCCTGTTATAGTATTTGTGTCTTCAAGATGCAAATATCTTAAAGATAACTGAAATCGGCTCCAACTTAGCTGTGAAAAGTAAAAGCCAGGTGAGTGACATTACCTTCTCATGAACAGTTTTCCAACCTCAGAGAACACAATCAATAAATGTATGTATCGTTACCTAGGAGTAATTGAAATAACTAGGACTCACTTTTCATAAACGAAAGAATCATTAACTTTTTGAAAGTGGATACATTTGCAATTGAACTATGTGGCAGATCAATCTTTAGTGAAGTCTGCTCTAAAAATGGACGATAAGTCACAATACACTGTATACAACCACACTTTAAGCCACCAGCCCTCACAATTGACGAATTCTTCACAATGCAATACATTTGCCACCGTCTGTTCAGTTTTTGGTTTTATGTTTGTTTTTTTTTGTTTGTGGGTTTTTTGTTTTTTTTTTTTTTTTTTAATACAATACATCTTGGCAGTAAAAGAAAACCCATACAACAGAACTTTTGTCTTACGTGTTTTATAGAAAATGCTGGATTTTAGAAATAATTAAGGTTCACTTGAATATGTTTACGATCATGAAAGATCTTGAACATTTATCAGTCACTGGCTTCATAAGGAATACCTGTATGTACATTGATAGGAAGTTACAGCTACATGCAATAGTTAAAGAAACCCAGATTTAACTCATGCACCCCCTGAATCTACAGTTTACATATTTAAAAAAAACCAATTTTTTTTCCCCTACAAGCTGCTCTTACCAGATTAAAAAGGGGCACACTACTTCACCAGCTGAAAGAAATAGTATGAATCTATCTTATACAGTTAAAATATCTTATAAATACAGTTAAACTGTATAAGCATAAAAACCAAAACCAGGTTCTTGGATTAGATTCAGAGGGATAACAGTTAAGACAGCATTGCAACTATTCAAGTGAACCCTGTACTCATAAGTCCTGAACAGCAATTTCTAGACACCTCTGGTCTTGAGACACTGTGGGAGACTAGTTCACCCCTCTTAGCAAAGACATATAGCATGACAAATAGTGCTGTGATTTCCTGTTCTCTCAACAGGAAACAATAGGAGCTTCCTTTACTGAAAGAAGGACTTTGCCTGCTAAGTAGTAAACTTACTCTAGGTGTGACAAGTTAAGTACATGGTTTGCCAGGAGAATCTCTCAAGGGGAACATGCATGAAAAGCCTGTTTATATTTCTGTTTGCTTACAGCAAAGTTTGGTTGCTGCTGTTAAGGAAAGCTGTGAACTGAAAAGCTACCATTTCAGGGATTACACCCAAGTTAGAAAAAGGAAGTGGGAATCAGAAGTATTCAGAAGCAATCTTCTGCTAACTCTTAAAGGCATAGAAGTGTGGCAAGCCAGCATTTGCTGAAAACACCAATATTCACACCAATGAATGTCACAACCACCTGATATGCCAGCGTTCACAGAAGTCACACTTGGCAGACAATAC